TGCTCCCTCTGGGCTCCACATGGCTGGTGGGCAGGCAGTGCTTTGCTGAAGGGGTTGCGATGGCTCATTGTGCTTTCTGCTCTGAAGGACCTCCACTTTTTCGCATCTTTTCCACCTCTGGTAGGCAATACTTGCACGCAGGCCCTGCAGCCGTGCTGGGGAGGGTGTGTAGGTGAGTGGAAGTGCTGGTGGCAGAAGTTAAATGCCTCCTTGCGCTAATTATTAAAGGTAACCTCAGATAATTCTGCCCTAGATGGACTACAGTACAGAAATGTTCTCTGTTGCATTGCTCTATCGAGCAATCTTGAGCAGGTAGCCTGCATGTAGGGTTACCATATTTCCAGTTCCAAAAAAAGAGGTCACCTCACTCCTGACCCCGTAGCCCTTTATCCCCCCCCCCCCCAATGCTGGTCGCCCTCAGTCCTGACCTGCAGTCCCCCACTCCCTGCACCTGACCCTCACTCCTGACTTGCAGACCCCTGGCCCTGCTGGTTCCCTTCACTCCTAACCCACAGTCCTTTGCCCCCCCCACGCCATGCTGGTGCCTCACCTGACTCTCAGCCCCCAGCTGCCCCTGTCCTGTCTGAGATGGAGCACAGCGACTCTGATTGGCGCATGAGGCGGTGGAGCGAGTCCTGCAGTGCATCGAGTGACGGGGGCAGGAAGGAAGGGGATGCCTGTGTCACCCCCTGCCCTGGGCTGGGGTGTGACTACGCCTCCCTCACCGTGGACAGCATCTCTTGGCTGACCCCGGCCCCATGAACAAGGGCACCTGCCCCAGTGCCACCAACCTGGCCATGGAGCTCCCTTGTACTTTCAAAGGTGCCTGTCCCCCTCACACACTCATCCATGTGACACACACAGCCCCCTGGACGGACCCTAAGCCCTGGCCCTCCAACCCCTGCCCCCTATAGACTTACCTGAATCCAGCTGCTGAGGCTGCTTCCACCACCCTGCCTAGCTGCACGTGGTGCCCCCTGCTTATGGCCTTTCCCTGCTCTTGCCAGAGAAGCAGAGCAGAATCCTAGACATTGGTTCAGATTTAAAAAAACTGCCTAGATGGAGATGGGGGGGATCCAAAAAGAGGGCATGTCTGGGAAAACTCAGACATATGGTAAACCCTAGCCTGCAGGTGCAGGAGGCAGTGGAGCAATGGACAGGTGTTCCTGTAGCACCTGTTCATTGGCTGAGGAGTGGGACTGAATCCCAACATCAATTTTGTTTTTTTTGTGGGAGGGGTGGTGAGGAGGAGAAGGCCTAGGAGGGAGAGCAGCAACGATGGTCAAAATCAGATTGCACCAGTCTTATTTTACTTAAGGTTGAACTTGTGTCAGTATGTTCTCCCAGTGTGCTAAACTTATCAGCTAGAAAATAAAGCCTCAGGGGTATGGGAATGCCTGTATTAAGTAAGGTAGGAGAACAGTACACCAGGTTAAAAATGTGGATACCTAGTAAGTGATCATCACTGCTGTAACTGCTGGGCAGGAAGTTGCTAAAATATTTTTCCGGAGAGTTCCTTTTTTAACGTGAAACTTGAATTCTTCAACCAGTTGGAGGGGGTCTGGGGAGCTGTTTCCTTTTTTCTTCCCCTCTCTGAAACCTTTGCCTTCCGGTAGTGGCAGGCTCATAGCAAGAGTTGGCATTTATATATTTTTTTTCTATATGAAATTCCTAAAACAGCTATAAAACTGCTAAAAGGAAAACAAAAAACACCAAAACTTAATATAATGTATGATTGCAAAAGCAGAAAGCATTCTGATTGCCTGTTTTGAATTTTCATGTAGTATTATGTTTATGGACATGTTAGAATATTTTTAAGACGGTTACACTTTCTTATGATTTTCATCTTGTTAACTGTGCCAGTCACTAGTATCAGTTGTAAATAGTAACATTTCTAATAAGCTTTTAATACCACAGTGGTATTAAAACTGGTTGTGAGCAGCTGAAAGCATGTCTTTAAACAGTTCTCTTCTTCCTTCTCTACTGCATGGACCAGAAGCTCAGTAATTTGTAAATACTTGATCTTAGAGCCTTACTGCATAGTGCAGTTTGTTAGAATAGTCAAAATTTAGACAATTGCACATGGATTGTGAATAAACGATCAGTTGTAAAATTCTGTCTTCTAGTTAAGCAGGCACTGCCATAATTGCCAGCAGCTTCTCAATTAAGCTATTCAATGCTCTTCTTTTCTATCATTACTTAGTAGATGGCTGCAAAAAAAAAATAAAATCTTTTTTTCTCTTTTTTTTTTTTTTTTTTTTAAGGCTTTCCAAGCACACCTTTTTTCCACTTTAAATAGTTTTCCAGGTTAGAAACAAAGAATTCCACTTCAAAATAAAACAAACCTAGCATTCATTGTTCCATAGAAGTCTGAACCCAAAAGTTTTTGTGTATACTCCCAGTCATGGTCTGCTAATCTTTCTCTCCCACATAACCTAATGGCTAGAAACTAATATTGTTCTAGGTATCTCTTTTAGACCAGAGCCATATGGCATAGACATCCTCTGTGTATGGCATATGCAGGAGATCACAGGAGAGAGCAGGGAACACAGCGACAGATCAGGCAGAGAGCAGAAAACAGAGCATGAGATTGGGCAGGGGAACTGGAGTGGCACTTGGAAAGCACAGGGCATATCTTGTTACACCTGCCAAAAAAGGTTGGCCCCCACTGGCTTAGACTATGTTTTCTGCCTGTTCTAGAGAGGCAAGAGAATTTCTAATCATCTTTCCTTATAATTCAAGAGCAGGA